TGGTGGTGGTGTTGGGGGTGGTGCTTGGGGTGGGGGTAGGGGTGAGGAGTCCTGGTGAAGCGTGTTCATGTGGCTCTGCCACGTCGTCGCCTCGTCTAAAAGTTCCCTTCGGTGCAAAGATGAACACGCGTATTGGGGAGGGTGGTGGAAGCAAAGTGAGTGAGAGCGTGAAGGTGGAAGGAGTGGCAGTGTTCTGCGTGGAAATGACAACTAGCGTAGAGGTGGAAACTTGGCAGCGAAATGTACAGGTCTATGCGAAAACGTCAGATGGTTTGCTGAGGGATCACCGCCTTTGCATGTGCCAATAAGAGGATGAGTAAAATGATTGTCACTTCCAATGATGAATTTATTACCAAATTGCGCTTTTCTTTACTGTTGGACTCCCTTTTTGCTCTTTTCCAGAAACCATTCATTGTGCAGTGTGTTTGTCATTAAAGCTGTGAAGCAAGTGTCTGCTAACCTAGACCTGGAAATATCAGTTTGATGTGAAGTTGCAGGTGGACAATAAGGGAGACTTCGTCCCAGCAACTAGTCACATCTACAGACAGAATGTAGAAGTGTGTCCATCCATTTGGAGTATGAGTTGATGGTGGGACAGTTCCTGGATGTTGCACTGATTTGTTTGTTGATGCCCCTGGGCTGATTGTGTGCGTCGCCTTGAAATGGCGAGTTTACGAATTGGTGATGTCGGTGGTGTGGACGAGCTCGGTTTGTGGTGGTGACAGTGCAAACTGCTGATGATGGAGCACAGAAGTGCCCAACCATGGGAGTCTTTCGCTATCCACCTGAAGGTAAGCTGGCGATTGGCAACAGTGAATGTGAGCTCCGTGTGAAATGCTTAGAAATTAGTCGACGAGATGGACGTCCTTGCACAAAGAATTGCAGAATGGGACAGAAGCGGCTTGATGTTGTGTTCATGAAATACACGTCTGTGATTTCACAAAGTTGCTAGCAATTCCCTGCAACAGTGACAACTTTGATGTTTACCTGATGTCATTCGAAGCGTTGGCCCTCCAACCCATCTTTCTTGTGGAGTTGCAATGCGCTGTCATGTCGTTAATTTGTCGTTCGTTGTGTTGGGCGCGAAGGCAGAAGTGATGGGTAGGAGTTGTGCAGGTGCGCAATGCTTCCTCAGTCGAAAGGTGAACACCTGGAAGGTTTATGGGATCAGGTTGCGTAAAGTGTGAGGAGGGAGGTGAAGTTGGAGAGTGAAGTGGGATGCGAGGAGAGTAGAGGAAAGGGGTTTGTGCGTGAAGAACAGTAGGACTGGAGTGTTGAAATGAGGGAGAGCATTGGAGGAGAGGTGTGCTTACCACCTGAGTGAAGGCGGTAATGCTGTGGAACTATTCTCCTCTCCTCGTGCTCCCTCCTGTCCCACTTCGCAGTTAAACAGTTGTGGCACAGTGGACAAAGGAATGTCTCGCTACTGACATTTGGCAGTGTTGGCGAAGTAACTCTGACTACACGTAGTGGTGATACCTTTGCATCCATGGTAGTTCAACATGTCTGACACTGCCATTACTGCAAATGAGTTGCGCGGTCTACAACTTACGAGCGGCCACGCACTACCTTCCGTCGATTGACCCGACCGACTGACCGATTAGTCAGTCCGCGGTGAAGGCTACTGTCATGGCAGATGTCCACTACTTCCCATGGTCAGGTCACTACTGCCAGCCACCAACATCCACTCCTCTCCACTGTCGGCCACAATCAGATGCAAGTGCGTGAATTGAGACTGAAACATGGAAGTGATTTGTGGAATCAGAGGAATAAATTCTGCGTGATGAGGTGGTGCAGGGAGGCTGTGGATGCATGCGCAATCCACCTATGCGGTGCCACATGACAGCCTCGGTTTCTGCAGTGTGTGCACGCCGAACAGGTGTGAAAGCAAGTCTTGACAAAGAGCTGCAAGAGGAAGGCAGGCAACGCCTGTCCTCCTCATCACTTCTGTCACTGCCCTGTGTTTGCATTCATTTGTCTATGCAAAGGGTAGAAGAAGGCGTTAAACAAATGCGATGTTTAATTCGCAAACCACCATGTGTACAATGTCATGGTCGCTTTGACAATGTCTGATTGTCTGGTTGCTTGGCGATGGAACGCCAGTGTGTGTCACGATGCATCTGCCTTCCCAATTCACATCGTTTTTGCTCCACTATCCCCTCTCTTCGTCACTTCCATTTCCATTTCCTTTATTGAAGTGGATGTGGTACTGACACACAAAGCTGGACACAGTTGGAGGAGGAAGGACACTGGGAATGCGTAATTGAGGCCGAAACATTCACGTCCCCAACCAATGCCCTATCCGATGTTGGTGATAACGAAGTACAATGCAAGTGAGGAGGAGGAGGAGGAGGAGGTGACGAACGATGACCTCGAGCTAACCACACTCGACTGTTTGCACACCGATCTCGTAGATATCACACACCGGCGACAGTAGGGCTCGTTGCTGGACTTACACTTGCGCTACTCTCTGCAACACGATTTCCTCCAGCAGTACTTTCCTGTTGCCATAACAAAGTGATGTTGGCAGGAAGGGAGAAGGGGGATTGGTTGAGATGTCCCCTCACAGCCTCGCATCCCAAAACACACACAGTAGGCGTTGATCTATTTTTTTGCAGGAAATCGCAATCCACTTGCTTTCTCTCCTCACACATTTGTGTGTGTGTGTGTGTGTCTCCAAAGAATGTGAATTAATTTATTGCAAATGAGGACACGATTTTGGACTGATTTGGTGGTTGAAGTGCATGCTTGGATGTGTGAGAAAGCGACAGAAGGGATGAAGGAGATGTTGAGAAAGTCAACATAAGACATTGCCATGAGGGTGAGTCATTTTGCGAAGTAGAATGCTGCAACTGGTATGAGTGACATCCCAAGCGCTTGTTTGGCTTATTTACTCACCTGATGCACACACCAAGACAATTAGTGTCTACCTGCCTATCGCGAGTGCGCGCAATATGCCACCTTGAATGCGATTTTGCACATCACACCCCCCTCCACCTCCACCTCCACCTCCACCTCCACCACCACCACCACCTTCACCCGACTGGTTTGTTCCATCAGATTAAGTATCAGTTTGAGTCGTTTCTCGTGGTGGTGGTGGTGGTGGTGGT